AAAAAAAAAAAAAAAAACACTGGAGAAAATGTTTTGTAATCACAGAAATGAAAGAAGCTTTTTTTAAACAATGTCACAAAACCTAGGAAGGACTGATAAATCTGATTTCAGAAAAATTTAAGCTTTTGATTAGTAATCAAAAGCTTTTTAATACCAATAGAGGTCAAAAGATAATGTTTTAAATACTTGAAATATGTGACAAATGCTTAACTTTTAATATGTAAAGTGCTCCTACATATCAAAAGAGAAAGGAAATACAAGTGGCCTTAAAAGAAACAAGAAAATCTACTTGCCTTCATTTATAATAGGAAAAAAAAATAAGATCATTTTTCACCTATCAGACAAAGACAAAAGTTTGATAACTGGGTAGGTCAAGGTATAGAAAAAGAAAACAGGCACATTCTTATTACCCTGGGAATGTACACTGATACAATTTCTCTGAAAAGTCATGCCTTACAGCATTCTTTATAATAGCTGAAGACTAGAAAGACTTGTCCACTATATAATAGATCACTGGTTAATAAAGAATACTATTGAAATGTTAAAAAGAAGTGGTGCTCATAGCTGAGTGGACAGGACATCGTCCACATATACTGAGGCTGGCGGGGTCGAACCCAGCCCAGGGCAGCTACAATCAATAATGACAACTGCAACAAAAAAACAGCTGGGCATTGCGGCGGGCACCTGTAGTCCCAGCTACTTGGGAAACTGAGGCAAGAGGATCACTTGAGCCCAAGAGTTTGAGGTTGCTGTGAGCTATGACGCCATAGCACCCTATTGGGGGCAAGAAAGTGAGACTCTGTTTCAAAAAATATATATATATGTGTGTGCATATATATGCACAAACATTTGACTAATGAAAAGAAGTTAGCACTTTCCATCATATAATTTAGGATTCGCTTAAAGATTTAAAGTATATCCAGCCCGGGCCCACCAAACAACAATGATGGCTGCAACCAAAACATAGCCAGGAGTTGTGACAGGTGCCTATAGTCCCAGCTATTTGGGAGGTAGAGGCAGGAGAATTGCTTGAGCCCAAGAGTTGGAAGTTGCTGTGAGCTGTGATGCCATAGCACTCTACCTAGGGCCACAGCTTGATGGTCTGTCTCAAAAAAATAAATAAGTAAAAACTAAAGTATAAGAAAAAGAAATTTAGGGCGGCACCTGTGGCTCAGTGGCTAGGGGCACTGGACCCATATATCGAGGGTGGTGGGCTTAAACCTGGCCCTGGCCAAATTGCAACAAAAAAATTGCTGGACAGGCGATGCCTGTGGCTCAAGGAGTAGGGCACAGGCCCCATGTACTGGAGGTGGTGGGTTCAAACCCAGCCCCGGGCAAAAAAAACCCCCACAAATTTTGGGGCAGCGCCTGTGGCTCAGTGGGTAGGGTGCTGGCTCCATATGCCGCGGGTGGTGGGTTCAAACCAGGCCCTGGCCAAACTGAAATAAAAAATAGCCAGGCATTGTGGTAGGCACCTGTAGTACCAGCTACTCAGGAGGCTGAGGCAAGAGTATTGCCTAAGCCCAGGAGTTGGAGGTTGCTGTGAGCTGTGATGCCACAGCACTCTACCAAGGGCAATAAAGTGAGACTCTGTCTCTTGTCGGAGGTTGCTGTGAGCTGTGATGCCAGGGCGACAGCTTGAGGCTCTGTCTCAAAAAAAAGAAAAAGAAATTTAGGTATGTCAGCCCCTAAGTTACAACTCATTATCACTCAGTTAGTGGGCACAATGTAGGGATGTATAGCACACCTTTTGGGTGTGGGACACAACTATAAGAGGGACTCTACCTAACAAATTCAAATATTGTGAGCTGGTTGTTTGTATCCTAACATTAACTTAAAATTTAAAAAAAGGAACTCATTGAGAGACCAAGATGGTGGCCAAGTAGTAGCTTCTG